AACTAGGTTGAATACATGCTAACACATTGTTCTGATTGTTTATATTCACAGCACTCTACCTAAACTACAGCGCCGTGTTTGCGTGCTCGTGAGACTGTTCTTGTTCTCTTCTGTTCCAGACCGACAGGCCGACAGTGATTGAGTACGATGACCACGAGTACCTGTTTGAAGGCTTCTCTCTCTTCTCCCACACTCCTCTCACTAACGTAAGCCTGCTTTGAATTGTTAGCAGCTCGGGCGGTAAGCCATGAATTTTCCACCACAGCACTCTCAGGTTGTTGACAGTAACAGTGGGTGTCAGTGTAAAGTCATTTTTCTCAGTTATGCTGTTGTGTTTTATAGTTTCTATTTTTATTTATTTACTCGTTCGGAGTCGGCAGTTCCTTTTGCGTCGAGCTTTTCGGAGGCGAGTGTCACACTGAGTTTACTCTATTTCGTTTGTAAGTGTCACGTTAAGCATCGCAAAGGTGAAGTATAAGTGTACTGGGTTGGTTACGACTTCCTCATTGACTTTTCACCTCGGGGGAGTCTTTTTCTGCACAAATGCTTGATATAGTGTGTTATTCATAGAAAGTACTATGTGCAGCTTCACTAATGACTTAAAGGCCAAAAGGTTGTCTTGTAGAAACAGGATACACGAACATAAAAATGCTAAAGTGTTTTTTGTGGATTGTTTCTTTTATTGGTGATATTTTAGGGCTTCATTACTAGGATCCTGCTCATTAACCTTAGGGTTGCAAGAGGTATTCAAATATACATAAATCTTGCACATCAGTTACCTTGCAGCTACATGAGGTCGAAAACAACAAGAGGAAAAGGAACCACATGTGTAATCTCTGTATATAAAGTCCAGTCACTGAAGTCCGTGCAGTTAGAAACAAAAACACATAAGGGATTTAAATGTAATTGATTATTCCTTTTTACATCATCTCCGTGCGCATCTCTGGACCACTTCTATTGCTGCTTTTACTTTAAGATCCCTTTGTGAGGTTGCAGTATGACTGCTCACATGTACAGTTCCTCAAGAGAAAAACTGGATAAGTTGTTCTTCCTTCCATTTCCACACCTGAAGGCAGTAGATCTGGTAAGGAGAGCATCCAAGAGCATCCAAGTCATGATCCCCTAGGGTCAGACTTTCAATACCAACTCCAACTTGAGGCATCTGAGGATTTGGGGGGAAAATAGCACCTGAGTTTGTGCCATCGTGTAATGGTACATGAAAATACAACGTTTTTTTCCCCCACACCATCTCAATCGTCCCTCATTTCCCCACCTTGCACACCTGATGTGGCTGCATGCAGGGTTTTGCCTTCTTTCACAAAATGAAATGATGTATTAAAGCAGTTGAAAGGTCACTGCTTTAATACATTTGAAGAGATCCAGCGCACATCATTGTGCAAGCAGTCACAATGGAGCTTCCAGAAAGCGATCTAAAAATAGCAGAAAACCCTGGAAGCATGTCAGCGCCACACAAGGAGACTTTGTTCAAGGGGACATCAGCCAAATTAAAATCAGGCATTAGTTTTGATTTATATGGGTGGAGTTGCAGTAGTTTGCAATAGCAAACTGATAGATTATCCTTCTTAATACATTTTTCTTAGTTTTTTATTCCCTTTTCCCTCTTATGTGTGAG